GTTTGCTTTTTATGGATCTGTAATCACCACAACGGCGCGAATCAGTTTGATATTTCCTAGGTACCATTTGAAAGCTCAATGACTTTCGATGACCGAATAATCCCTAAATGAATCGTGTAATCAGATTCAACGTTCGCTATTTTTAGCTTGTTCGGGGCCAATCTTCTTGACCTAGCGAGCACTGGGAGGCCATGTAATCTCATGGAATGAGTAATTTTCGAGCCAGCCTTAAGAGTCTGAGGGTTGGTTACTGTTAGAAATAAAAATTTCTGTGTTTTCCAGAATCTCTCGATTGGTTCTGGCGGAGATCGGGCTAGATTCGACGAATGATGCTCGCTTGTCTTGCCACTCGTATTCCATAAAGTTTCTTTAATATTTAAATGTCTCTTTCGAGTATCCACGAATAAGTCACGTCTTTCTAAGAAGTCCAGTCCAATAATAACCACGTTTAATTCAGCTACAGTGAACACCCATGGAAGCCGTCACTTGAACTCAAGGTAAACGGCCCGTGTTTTATGTCCGAACATCAAGATTTGGACAAAACTGTCGGCCTGCAGCGTAACGATTGACCGTTTTTGTCCCAGCCCTACCTTCGCTTTTGGCATGTTATTGAGTTCAACTCCTGTATCGACCAAGGAGTCTATACCAGAGGTGTATGACTGCTCATTTAGGGGGTGATGAATCATAACATTCCACAACTGCTTTCTTTTCTCGTGATGTAGCTGAGAACATACGCCCCTATACCTGATGGTTGCATACTTGATTTTATGCCGATCCAAATAGTGCTCTAGCTGAACAAACCACAGTCCCAGGTCATGTTGAACAAATTCAGGTAACCTGACTCCGGCAGTTGATATAGAATTCATCACTACAGCGGTGGTTTTTTAATAAAGTTTCTATGTTTGGCAAATAAAACACTATAATGGATAAAAATCTAACCAAATTGTGGGTGCGAATGAAAAAATCTGCAAAAACAACCAGATAACAGAAATATGTCTATTACAGTCAACTATAGGGCAACTTTTCTATCAAAATGATCATTCAAATTACCAAGTGACAGCTTATGATATTGCAGAAGACTAGTCATGACTTATAAATCTTTATTTTCGAAAACACGACCGAGGGTAAGTGAAGCGGGGAAAACCTAGTAACACACACGGAAGAGCATTGGTCATTCAGTAGATAAAGAAAGCCTTACAAATCGTGAAGGAGATATAGCTACTGCTTGGTTACTCGTCCTATCCTCCTGGACTCCTCAGTCACTTAATACATCTGGCCACAGCATGCTGTATTGTATGGGCCCTACATTTCCAACAAGAATCTTCCCTAATTAAATGCAGCTTTGAACTACCATGTGTATTATAGTCTCTCTTTACTAGTTGAGACCGCGTAAAGAGCAGCCTAACCAGCTTACTCGGGCCAGGCTAGAGAATCTAAAGGTAGTTGAGCCAAAGAGCAAGTCTAGAAGTATAGGTGATCACATAAAAATCACGATCGTTATTTGTTGTTTAAGCTAACCGGCAAACAAGTCAGGGGTTGTCCAGGCAACGTAACTAACTGACTCTCCCAAATGCCTACGTTAGTATAAAAATTGCCCTAAACAGTCCCTGAGAGGAATTTATTCTAAGTTATCCTATGGTTGGAAAAGTGTAAGGGGCTCGATACTGCAGCATGCTTTACGACAAAAGGAGTAGGATGTAGAACGATGACGTGGAGGTGGTTCTGTGAGGAGTTTCAGTTTCAGAAGAAAGATGACAAGACGGCTCAACCGTCAATATCACCTCCAACTTGCTTGACGTGACTATCATGCAGTGTTGATCCTTACAAATACGCATGACACTTGTATGCCTTTTAAACTTCTATTTCTAAAAATCATGCAAACGTGATCCATTAGACGTTTTGCTTCTCATGCTCATCATGCATTTGTATTTCCTAGAATAATTGTTGTGGTGTTTATTATCTGCACAGTTTCTATGCTTGGGAAGTATATAATAATTATGAAAACAGCAGTAACAGTTTTATTCTGAGAAGTGTTTACACATATTGCAAAAGTCCTAACTTGTTAAATTGCAAAATATTCACTCATGGCACAGAATTTTCAAAATAAAGTGATTATAATAATAAATATTGACATTTCGTACAAACGAGTAAGTTTGCGAGAAAAACAAGCCAATTTAAGGGAACTGTCAGATATGGTATAAATTGCAATCGTGAAATATCAATAAATAAGCACTTTTCAAAAGTTTAAATTATGTATTATTGTACAAGCAATCAGAACAGGTTCGTATTAATGTCAAATTGTGAATCCTTCAACATCAAAGTTGAGCAACAACCCAAACTTCGTTCCGTTTCATGCTGATAGTTATGGTTAACCAGTGATCTACGTATATTTGGGTAAGCGCTATGTTGCCACGTTATTAAAAGCTATTTCAGGAAGAGAATGTCCTGAGAAACTGCAAAATGTTATAAAATACAATTACGGATAATTCATCATTGGAAGTACATTTACAAGTTATATACAAGATGGAGCTACTGAGTCCTTGGAATGATAGTATACATTTGCAATGTTTAATGCTAACCATATTGGTCTAAGCATGGAAACTACAGCGTTTTCAATGAACATATAGCTTTATTCAAAAACTGTTGTTGTTGTGATTTTTTTCCAAAGCAACCAAACTTCAAGGAAGCAACAAATATGAACAGAGAGTAAGTTTTAGCTTTAATAAAGGCCTATGTAGCCAAGATAAAATGGAGTATAATAGTGCGTAAATAAAAATATTATCGTGAGGTGGATCAGCGGTATTTCAGTGAGAAGTGGCTTCTAAGATCCGGAAGATTAGGACCGGTAACACAAGGTGACCTGTAAGATGTCTCACGAATTTGTGTAGGGCCCATGGGGTAGCATCTTGACATGAAGCTGAACAGACTAGTTAATGGTTGGAGCGAAACCTTTTATTATAATCTAGATCTGTACAACCCCGTCTTTTCCTTTTTTGTTAGTTCTCGAGCTGTCAAAATTTGCATGTTGCTGTCCTACGGATCGGAGCGATTCACATCATTGACCACTACCATATCTGCTGATCAACATGCCCCACTCTTCACCCTTTTTTGATGTTAGGCTCTGAGATGTTTTTGGCAATAACTGTAGTTGCAGCATTGCATTGCTTTGACCTCGTCCCAGTCATACAGTATGCTTCACATTAATGGTTCATTTCAAGTGTATCCCACCAGGTCACCAGATACATCGATACCTAAGGACATTCTTAGCAGTATCACCTTTATACTTGCATTAACGTATATAAGTATTTGTTAAAAACGACTGGGAAATTAAGTTTTCAAAACATCTAATTTCAGATGGCAGTTGGTTTCAAATAGTGCAATATTTAATGGTGAAAAGTTTGCCCTAGTGGATTTTCTGTGGGTGGCCACCTTGACAAAGTAGTCGCGGTTTCGCAGCTGATATGATTTGATATTTTCCTCATGACTTTGAAGAGTAGAAACAAGTTGCATTTCACTTCATTTAACCATGGGGGTTCTAATTTCAGTCGCATACACACTTCAATCAACATATTCCATTTGTTGGTCAAACCCTATTGTGCGTTTCGTGAGGAATCTCTGGACATTTTAGACATTTTGCGGTCTGCAGACCTTAGGTTACTAAATAGGAGAGCATGATATTCAAGCTTAGGGTGAACACATGTCTTATATATAGCTGATCTTGCTTCTTGAATGTAAAAGTTACTCAGTACAAAGCCAGTAAGTCATCTACAGTCAGAAACTACCTTATTTGCGTGATCGGAAATGTTTGAATCTAAGTATATTATCCCGAGATCTGTGACTGTGTTCAGTTTTGAGATGATTTAACCGTACATATATAGGCACATTCTCGGTTTCCAGCGTCCAAGGTGGGCTCTACCGCACTTGTCTGGGTTGAAAGTCAGTTGCCACTTTTCTCTCCAATCGCCTAGATTGTTTAAGTCATGTTGGATCTTACTTCCGAAGCCCATATCATAGTTCACATAATCATATACTATCTCGAGATCATCTGCAAAGAGGTATGGCTTGCTATAAGAATAAAACTTGTGCACTGTGGTAGAGTGTAATTCCATTATGGGTAAATTTTGTTTTGATAAAGTCTCACAGTGTTATACAGTAATGTTTACTGATGACGTTTCGAGCACAATTTATTGCTCATAATCATATCAAGGTTGCAACAGCAAAGGTGTCACTTACTTTAGCTTTAGATTTCGTCCCTTATGGAATTCATCGCCAGCAAAAATTGTCACGTCATATCATTTGATAAATTCTAGAGACGACTAGACCCCTATGCAGAAACGAAATGTTTGGTAACATCAATACGGAACTCAGTTTAGCTGGCGCTACAAAAATTCTAACTTGGCTTAACCCACTAATCCAGGTATTTGTGTCGAGCCTTGTACCGTTTTCTTCCACTTTCGTTATATTTGTACTGCTTCTGACCTGTCTGTCTTGCACCCACTGCACTTGCACTACATTTTCCGTGTTTTCAAAGATATGGTTGCCACTATTATTTTTTTCAGCTGCTTGGTGTAGCTGTATGTACAGGGTTTGTAGACCTAGCTGGAGCAATTTTAGGCGAAACGAAGTTCTCAAATACCAGTAGCGCCATTATCCCATGAAAAACCGTGAATTCTTCTAAGAATAACATAGTGTAACTGTTTTATAGCATCCTGCATGGCTGTAGAAGTCAAAGAGGACGTGTGTTAGGCTTCACCGGAGTCCGAAAAGATGTAGAACTACCCTTCTAACATCAAGAATTGAACGTTCAGAAATCGTAGGTTTTGTACAAGCTCATCGGAAACAGACTACACACTGTACAAATCAGAAGTAAGGGGACAATTTCAGTCTGGGATCACAAATTTAGAGGTAAGTCTTATTTCTAATTTTATCATTGAAGATTGAATCTAGGGGTATTTCCCATTGGACGCAATACTTGTTTAGAGTTTATTGTACATTTTCGCGTTCGTTAATGAGATAGTGCGCTACATTTTAGTCAGCAGTATATTGTTCGGGGAGGTTTTCGATATTCTCAGTAAACATAGTAAATTATTGGTTGTTTCTGTTCGACATGGGGATTGTAATTAAAAGGAATTAATATATTCACATAATTATTCGAGAACTAAGTTTCATGCTCCTTGGCTACATATCCTCACTGTAAATTATGTCGCATGAATACTTTGTTGTTTTGGTGAGACTTTTGGAAGACGAGAAATTAGAGGAGTTCCGCGTACCTGTAAGTTAGCAGAGCAGTTGGGTTCCATTTTCTATGTGTGAATAACGTGTAGTCTACTTGTATGAAGGCATTATAGCATTAATTCGACGATTGTAACATCCTAAGGCCCATCGTGCTACAGGAAGTGCTATAAAGGCCGTTAGTCCTTAGAATGGATATAAATGTCACGAGATTTTGGCATTTTTTAGACATAAACCAATACAGGTTTTTATGTTTAAAGTTTATTGAATTCAATTTTATACCTATTATTTCTCTATTATTTTAATTTTATATCTGCTGATGTGTGCAGCACCACAATTAAAGAAAGATTTTGTGAGAAGTACGAAGAGTTCAAAAAGTCAGTGCCTTTAGAAATTATTGAAACGTCAACATTCTCACAAGGCCTATTTAACCAGTCTTTGCTCTTGTGCACTTCGTTGTTCGCTTGTAAGCTTCAAGAAGTAGCCAACAGTTTGCTCCACATGGTGATACTTCGAAGTTGTTACTTCAAAGCTGACACTCGACTCTTAAGTACGCTTAATGTACTAGTTCTAAACTTGTTAAAATTGTTTGATGTAACCAACTAGCATTTTCTTCTGGCGCACTTCAGAATTTTCGGGGCGAAATCTCCAGTAGCATTGCAGAACATGGGAAAGTTATCTTCAGTCTCCCCAAAAGTTTCTACACCGCGCCCGAATTCTGCCCCCAAAGTTACTGCATCGCACTTGAAGTCAATGCTAGCTGGGTAACGCAATGATACCGTATGATTGACCAGGTCGTGTGGTTTTACTTACAAAATGCCACCCACTTAATGAGCCTGCTGTTATTATATGAACCGGAAAGTCCTGGGTTCAAACCCCGTGGGTGCGAAGTGATGAAGAGTCTCAAACTAGGACGAAACAGTTGTCCAGTAGTCCTAGGTTTTCCAAAGGCTATTTAACTGATGTCAGCTCATGATGAAATCCTGTAACCAAATATGTAGTTTTTGCAGTTACAGCGATTCTAGCTTCATACTGTTCTGCGTAGTAGAAAGACTTTCTAGAAAGTTACCCGCTCTGATTTCACTAGAAATTTGATTTGATGGCTCCTATTGTAAGCAATGTTCCAGATGTCAAGTAGGATATCCCAAATGGATTGTTTAAGTGGCCTGTTTTAACCATTGTTGTATTCATTTAGGATCATGCCATGCGACTAAGTAAAGGCCAAGGGAAAACACCTAGTGTACAAATATCATGAAGCTTCCATTGGTCAGAACTCATTGTATGCCTTTATCAAATGCTGTGGTAACTCTCTATACAGATAACCCGATAAATCGCTCCGGCGAATAGGTCTAAGGACTTTATAGTTGTAGAGTTTATAAAGATCGGAAACTTCAAGGAAATTCTATGTGGCTACCTCCGAACTACTCGTACGCTTTGCCAGGTGAACTACAAGACTTAAAAGATTTTAGCCTCAACGAGTTTATCGGGCGATTAAGTGAACCTATATTATTTATCGGTATTGGACCTCGTGCATCAAAATCTATATGAAATTGTCAAATTATTAATGTATAAGACACAGAAATTGTAGAAAAGCTTATCCTGTAGTGTAATTATTGGCTAGTGCATGTTTTGAGATAGGATTCTTCCAAGTTATTTGTTTTATTTGGATCAACCTATCTGTATTTAGCTGAATTCTTCTGTGTGCACACTCTAGTTAATCCCTTTTGGCTACTTTGGTCTATATACTTAACGTCGTAATCAGGACAATTAAACTTAATTCATCTAATTAAAACCATAGGAGCTTTAACTTCGGATAGCTTATAAATTAATAGGTTTGAATGCCACCCAGATTCCAAATTTATTAAGAGTCCTACGTACAGTTTTTGCTGCTCCCTGTTTATATGACGACACTCCAACGGCTCTGAGTACTTCTTGACTTGTGTTGCGACCGTCACCTACGTTATTCTTTATCTTAGTTGTTACAGAAAAGAATCGTTTCCCTAGTGTGTTTGAATTCTTTACTTATATTTTTCGGCCTACTAGTTAAAGTTGTGGCTTATGTAGTTTTCCATGTCTGTTTGAATGGTGTGTAAACCACTTTTATCTTGTTGCTCTATTTTATACCATTACTGGTGAATCGAACAGCCTTTATCATGAAGACTGAGTATCTAAACTGGTGATTAGATGAACTTTGGTGTGTACAGTACAACTACATATTTTCATTTAATTTGTATAACCCCACATAGCGCATACATGGGTTCATCATTTTTGTGTCGTCACTAAAATTACACCTGATCTTTCGAGTTTTTGTATCTATACTCAATTAGGGTAAAGTGTTGTGAAGCTGTTTCTTTTTCATTACTCTCATTGTTATCAAGACTAATCGTGATTCTTCTAAGTTAGTAGACTGAATCGCACATAATTCTACTTTATGTTAAATATCGTAGTTGTGTATAGGTGGATACCTGTTGCCATGTTGATATCGTTGCCGCTTTCTATCTTGCAGGAGGATGCATCTGGAAAGTGGCTTTTTGAAGAAATTTGTCGTCACCAGGGGGTTATGCAAGAGCGTGAATATTTTGGTCTACGTTACCTAGAACATGAAATGCTTTCACCACCAACAAAGGTAAGTTGATATGTATGTAAAAATTGGGCACTGTGGTGGTATGTAATTCCATAATTATTCATTTATAGGATATATTGTAATGGGAGAAGACAAGAGACCTGGTAACGGGATGTTTGTTTTCAGTGTGATATACACATATAAGGAAATTATGTATACCTCATATTCAAATCATTATTTGCAAAGATTTTCGGTATTGTGTTACTTCTGCCTTTTTTATTGTATCTCTTTGTCTTCTTTTTGCGTCTCCCATATTTCGCCGTAATACTGGTTCACTTCCTCTCTTTGACGTTAAATCTGTCTCTCCGCTATTTGATATTTTTACGCCGATAGACGTCTCTTTATATAATACTGGTAAATCTTATCAGTAGCACATGTCACAATATCACAAAGTGAAACAGCATTATTTATTGGATGACGTTTCAAACACAATTTATTGTTTATAATCTTATCAGTCGTAAATACGCAATTGGTGCGATTACGAGCAACAGATTGTTTGAAACGTCGTCTAGTAAATAATGCTCTTTTTCTTTGCGATATATCCAATAAGTAAATTAGTATGCAAAAAATAAGTCAGTTTATGATACATGTATGACGGTTTAAAATTAGTATGATTTTTAGTTGATGCGAAACTACTCAAGGAGACAATTTATTAAGTAATCGAATAGAAGTTTACGCCCAAAATATAGAAAATATACCATTTTTGTGTTTAAGAATTTCTATCCCAAAGATTCACCGGAAATTGAGTGCAGAAAAAAGGCCATATTTTTAAATAGAAATTGTTTCACAGTTTTCAAGCAGATACTGTTAATTTGGTGTAGGCAGCCGTGAAAGTGTTAAAATAAGAGACCGCAAGACTTTTACTTGTCAGTGTGATTGTAAGACACCCATTACTGGCAGAGAGTAAAGTCTAAGTGATAAATCTCCCGGTAGACCTGAAGTATACTTGGTTGTTGCTTCTACCTTTATTATGTAACAATCAGTCAGTTAATTGTATATCAGTCTTAATATAATTTGCCCAGTATATTAACTATTATCATCATATTATTCATCTGTCTTCCTTATGTTCACTGATGCATCAATAATCTTTTGTTTTGATATAAAATTGGAACTTACTCACAGCACTGGATCAATCTCACAAGAAATTTACTATCACAACTTAAGCGTAAGTTAAATGTAATCTTTATGGCATAATATATTTCTTTTTATGCTGCAAATATCACTGTCGTTAACGTTTGTATAATTCACACAGAAGTGCATCAGTTCAAGTTGTAAGACTTCCAAAAAGCATACGTAAAAATAAAACAAATGTAGTGGGACTACAATGGGAAGAAATTGGTGGGGAAGAGAATAATTAAATCATAATTCGTGATGTTCAGTTTTGAGGACGATAAGGGTTGAGCATATCTAAGCTGTCACCGGGGAGCTCCCAGTCATCGATTCTCAGCATTTCTGACAATGACACCTAAGGGTGCTGATTTTTCTGGATGTAGGGTATCAGTATCGCCATTTCTGTACTCGACAAGCAAAGTCAGGCAATAGAAGTGTTTCAGAATCTCTATCAAGTGTGTCTTTTTCAAATGAAAAAAAAATAATTTGAGTAAACAGCTGTTTTCAGCATGTATCTGTAATTAGACAGCTATGAAAATTTATCCCGAAAACAAGTGTAAAGCATGCAATAAAATAACTTCAGTATTGATAAAATCACCAGTTTTTATTACAAGCAGTTGTTAGAATTCAGTTAACCAGAACAGATTTTTTTCATGTGGCAGGCTCTGAGCCACATATATTGTGTGAAGGCTGATAATACTACCCATTTATCAAAGCTGAAGTAGGATGAGGTGGGATTTAAACTCGGAACCCAATGAGTCACATCTCTCGTTGGGTTGACTTCCAACCAGTAGGTCCAGCGTTCTAATCTCAATTGGCTCACTTCAACCAGGTAGTATCGTCAGCCCTTACACGGTTATTGTGTAGCTCATAGCCTAATATGTGAAAAATATTTACTGAATAATTAAGTTCTAACAATCCTGTTCTACCCCAAGGTGTAACAGTGTAACCTATGTATAGGGATTTTATTTTTTGTTCTAAATTATAAGGATTTTTGAATGTTTTTTTGAGTTATATCTCCTAGCATTAAGTAATCGGAACTTATTCTCCGATTGAAGGCTGATAGACTCACTTGGTAGACTCAGGTGGCCATACTAAGAGCTAAGATCAGTCCATGAAGTCTTTGACAGTTGGTTTAAGCCAAGTAGGGTAGTGTATACTGTCTGGTTGGGTTCCTCGGGATCCTAAGAAGCAATGGCTTGAAACTGTTAGTGATATGGCAAAAATCTTTCTCAGTGGCACAGATGTATTCACTCTTTGTGATCTTCCATATTCATTAAATCCTACGGTTTTTCCACGTTACGACTATGCCTTTCTCGCATTTCTACTCCTTATAGTTCTTTCTTTAGTTGTACTCTTTCGCTTGTTTTTTTTTAAATAGAATCTTTCTTATTGTACAAATTTACAAAAGGCACGACAGTTAACTTTCTCATTATTGAGATTAGTGTTGCTTATCAACAATAAGAGTGGATGAAGTTTTATATTTCGTGTGTTTGCAAAATCAAACTAGCACTAATTATACACTCAAGAATAATTTTTGAGCCTTGTATCACTATTCTGGATTCCACTGACTGATGTTATTAGTTTTATCGTACTGATAATGTGACTAAGCTTGTTTCTGTGCTATATGTGTTACTGTGAATAAATGTTTTCACTCCATTCCGTAAACTGATACTTATCATCAAAAGTTTCAGGTCAGTCACCAACTGATGCAAAAAATCCATTTAAGATACATAAATACGTGGTTTCTAAGAAATTTCGTAATTGTTTTCACTGGGAATTCAAGTTGATCAATTAGTCTGTAATAGTTTGTTTTCTTCTGTTGTGACTCTGCATCAGAAAAGAAGGGAGTCAACTTTTCACCATGGCTTTGGTCAATAGGTCAATATATAGGACTTTCATCATGAGCTGACATTAGTTAGAGAACCATTGGAAAACCTGGGAGTACTGGACAGCTGTTTCGTCCTAGTTTGGGACTCTTCAGCAGTACGAAACCACCGGGATTCGAACCCAGGACCTTCTGGTTACAAGGCGAGCTCGTATACCATTAAGCCACTGGGACCCGATCCAATGGCCCATGAATTCTAACTTCTGCCAATTCACGACATAGCGCGACCCCTAGCCAACCCCTAGGTCAATATTTAGTCAGACTTTGATTCAATGTTATGCATTGTGTAGTATTTTTCTAATCCTGCTCTCATTATAAGCAATTCATCGTTATGTTATTCTTATGCTAATTTTTATTTTTGTTCAACAGATACACATCCTCGTCAAGTTAGCTTTCGCATTAAACACTATCCAGCAGATCCGATTGTTGACCTGAGGTTACCAAAATCTCAGTAAGTTTATTATCAACATGTGTTGAAGCTACATTTATGACTTCCAATGTCTATTTCATTTTATTAAATGCTATTCATCGTCCTTATAGATTATGTATTTATCACAGTATTGCATATGAACGTGTACATGGTTAGTAGTGCAGGTGTAGTTTAATAGTCTCAACGTTTATATAGGTTGACTATTCAAGTCTAGTCCGCTTACTTCCAATTGGTTAGAGATGTGGTACCTTAACTCTCACGTTTGTCACATATCGTTCATAGACAGTCTTTGTTTCCTTGTCCTGGAATTTGAATCGGTGCAACTTAGCCATATAGGCATAATTCTTTTTACTTATTCCGTTACAAGCCTACTTCAGCGGTTTTGATTCGGTCAAATAGTTTATATTAGAATTGTAAACAAATTATGTAAAGTAAAAAGCGTCAATTGGGTGGAAACTGAAATAAAATGAGTAAATTGTGTGACGTAATATAATTGAGGGGAGGGGTGTGAGTAGAACACAACTAAAATTGGACGAGAATCAAGTTAATAATAGTGGTAATAAGGGGTGGAAATTTAATAGGGGGTGAAGGAAGAAAATAATACAATTAGAAAAGCAGAAGACCGAATACGCTGGAATCTTGATAAAAGAGTACGAACCAGACTTCTTCAAACCACAGAAGCAATCACAATTAACATGCTGAATCTTGAACTCTGCATACAGAAGTTTGTTCAGTCACAATGGACCTGGTCTGTCTTAAGACCGGATACGTAATTTCTGTTTTCTGCCTCTTAGTTGTATTATTTTCTTCCCTCACCCCTATTAAATTTCTACCCCTTTTATTACCACTGTTGTTAAGTTGATTCTCGTCCAATTGCAGTTGAGTTCTACTCACTCTCTTCAAGTATAAAACGTCACTCAGTAGACAGTTTATATTACTTCAAGTTTCATCGCGGACTGATATCGTTGAAAACCACCAGGGAGTACTGGACAGCTGTTTCATCTTAGTTTGGGACTCACCGACAGTACCCACCCATTGGATTTCGCTAGTGACAGACCCCAGGACGAATTCGCGTGGAGATCTAGTTAGAAACCGCCGGCAGTAATTTCCTCCCGGTGTGAAGTGAGGACAGATGCTCGCTGACGACATTGGCTGGTGGTTGGGATAAAACCACGAATTGGTATAAGTCAGAATTTATGGGCTGATCATTGAGTTGGAGTCCACTGGCTGAATGGTCTACGAGCTCGCCTTGTAACCGGAAGGTTGTAAGTTCAAACCCTGGTGGTTGGGTACTGTTGATGAGTCCCAAACTAAGACGAAATAGCTGTCCAGTCCTTCCTGGTAGTTTTTAATGATTGTCGAATTGATATCAACCCCATAGTTCTTAAGAGTTATTTAGCCAATGAGGCTGCTTAAGCACAAATTCACTGCATACTAGCGAATCTTTTTTACCTCTTCGATTTGTCACAGATTAACTTATGGCGTTATTACATTACTTGAAGAAAATTATCCATTCAGTTGGTGCTTATCCGTAGCTCCTTTAATTGTTTGCTGCAGTGAATCTGTAGCATATCGTATTTTGGTAGGTTATTTCTAACTGAAGGACAGAGATACCAGTAACAGTTAACTTATAACATTCATCTGCACAGACGTCCCATTTCCCTACAGATATTAAAAACATGGTGGCTAGCAGAAACTTAGGACTTTTGAGAAGGATAATAGTGAGATATTTCTGAAGTATTGATGAAAAGTCTTTCGGAGAAGTCAAATGTTTCAGTTATGATAAACCCGAACCAGTAAAAGTAAACATTACATCTCTCATTTACATCGAAGAGTGAGTAGTTAATAATTTTAAATGACATCATTACATTTGATTTTGATTTTATAGAAATCAATTGTTGTCCTTAAAGGTCAGAATTTCATTAAAATCTGATAAGCTTTCACTGTTACAAAACCTACCTATTCTTGATTGATTACTAAGTTTTTTATGAGTCACAGGATATTTAGGTCGTAGAATATCGAAAGAAAAACAAACATTTTCTGATGATAGATGAGTGAAAATAAGTGAAATATCTTGACATTGGCCTAAAAATGATAGGTGTCCCCCTCCCCAGTATACCTGCACATTTGAAAAACAGCCATTTCCAATCCTGATTTTGTTAGGTGGCAGAAATAAGGAAAATAGTTTTCTAGAGAAATTCTCTGTCATGAAATAAGCGAAGACACTTTCTGTCTACAGAAGTTTGACTGTATATGGAAGTAGTATTTATTCTCATCCTTAAATAACTTCTGTGGGACTGATTTTTTGCATATTTCAAGGGTATCGTCATCGTATTCTCTGTTGGTTATATGTTAGCTAGTTTGATCTTCATTACTGCTGGCAATCTCTGTGGCTATTTTTCCACTCATAATACACCTCCCTCTTGATGATATTAGATGGTTGGAGGCAATCAGCAGGAAGCCTTGTGTGACCTAGGTTTCGTGCTGGTTGACGCATAACACTAATTACTAGTGTCCAATCAGAGTATGCCTCCTTCTTTTTGTAGCTTTTTCGGTCAGAATACCTTTCCGACACCTTGTTTGAAAAATTTTAATTTCCATTCTCATTGTTCTTTTCACAGCTACCTCCTTTATCATCAGTTGCGTCGTGATTTGATAAGTGGGAGATTAGTTGCTTCAACCGATGTTCTTATTCGCCTTGCAGCTCTTGTGGTTCAAGGTAAGCCGTCTTGCTGCAATCGTATTTTTATTGTCTTCATACGATCATAAATTTCAATGTTACTGACTACTGAGGTTTTAAAATCTGTCCATTTCGATGTATACGGTTTTGTTTGCTTCCGATTTTTAGTGGAACTTGGAGATAGTTCAGTGCAGGATCCACCTGTGGTGTCTATGAAAAATGAAGGTGAACGTAACTATTTGCATGAATTTCGTGTATTACACAATCAAACTGAACGTCTTGAATTGTGTATTATAAAGGAGCATGAGAAATTAGAGTAAGTGATTGTTTAACTGTTAGCATCATTTTTATTCACTAAACACTTTTTGAAGCTATGACAGGTGTAGAGTATTATTTTTATCAATTCATTCATCATCGCTTCGTTGGAAAATTCATTAAATTCAGTGTTGTTACTCTTCAGTCTTCTATGCTCCCATTTTTAATCGATTTTCTGCAATTGATGTGCTTTGTGGTGGCACTTTTAATATTTCATTATTCACAAAAAAATATTGACCTACTTTCATATAATTAAATTGGTTGACCACTATTGAAGTGACCGGATGAAATAAGATGCAGTTAGTAATGCCTTAATTAAGTATCTGCAATTATATTTGTTCTTCAAAACCTTCATCTTCATTTAGTCGTAAGATTATTAGAAGACGAAGAATGACCTGTGACTTCTAACAGGAGTTTTATTTGACATCACTTATCTAGGAAGTGCGGTTTCAACCACAGGTGGAACGGATGAAGATGTCAAAGCAGACCAGATACGCCTTCATCAACCTGAAACCAGTTTGGAAATCTTCCGCCTTCACTCAGCATAAAGAACAAGATTCAGATTTTCAACACCAATGTCAAGTCGGTCCTTCTATACGGGTCAGAAACTTGCATTGCGTGTTACGAAAAGGATTTCCAACAGGGTAATACAGATCTACCTTCACTGGCTCCATACTGAAGATCAAATTGCCAGCCAGCTGGCCAGAAAAAAATTAGCAACAAGAAACTCTGCAGTGGAACAAAGCAACCAAGAGCCATTTGATTAACAGATATGTTGGAGAAAATGGAGATGGATCGGACATACGTTGAGGAGGCCGTCGAATGACATCGCGCCCCGTCGCTCGAGTGAAATACGGATGGGTCGTCAATGCGAGCGTGGCGTGGGGGAGATCGTGCGAAGAGGAGGAGGAGGAGATGAGAGATTATGGTCAATCTTGGGCCCAGATGAAGAGGACAGCAGAAAATAGAAGAAAGTGGAGATGTGTTTTTGAAGCCCTATGTTCCACTCGGAACCCAAGGGAATAATAATATAAAATACTTGTACATTTTTCACACAGGAAATTACAATAGCCTGGTGATGAAATAACCTATTCTGATTGCCTTCATGAGGTACGAAATTATTCAGTGAAACTAGCCTACCCGTATAGCTAAATAAATCTAATTTGAAATGCAAAATCTATCTCTAATGATGACTTAAAGTGATGTTTTCCATGTTAACTGTCCTTTATCAGCTATGATATATTAGAATTTTATTTATTAAGACACAAACTTGGCATATTATGGGCGGCACACAAAGTCTCATGGTTTGTGCGAGGGCTGGCATACTGCGTCGATGCCCAGATCGAAGCAGTTGGTTGTCTTAATAGGCCATACCCCTAGCTTTTGACTTTAAGTCTAATATGTACGGTGGTGGAGCCGCGTTCCTGCGATTGACGGTGACCAAGGAGGTTCATACACCGTTCGATGCGTTCGGATTCCGAAGCATATATGCATCATAGGTTTGGAATATCAGGGTTTTCCAATTCCCCTAGGTAGTCTTGGTTGTCCACCAGTCCGCTTGTAAGCGCCAGTCTTCAGCATTCACCCTTTCACTTTTATAGGGAACACCCTTGCCATATGAAGGCAGAAACTTGATAGTATACCATCTAATGTGAATTTCTTCATATTCTTGATTTATTTTCCTTTAGGAATCTTTTGCCTTCTGAAGCGGCTAGCGAGTTAATACACCTTGCCAGCAGTTTGGAAACATATGGCATTGATCCGATTCGTGTTAAGGTATGTATCGATCAATGTTTTTTTCACAATGTTCCATTGGATTTTTGGACTTTATCACCAAACATCCCTGAGGTTGTTTTTCTTATAATGCTTTAAGGAATAAATAAATTTGATAATAAGTCTACTGAATAAATTGTTATTTTCTTAAAAGTGGAGTAGATAATATATGAATTTTTGGTATTATTTAAGAATTACAGATGTTTCATTGAAGGACAAACTTCTACGGTGTATTATCCTCCTTTGTGTATGTATCGTATTGTTTTTTTGGTTTTAAAACCGATTGTTACAGGCTTTTTTGCTGCATTAATTCACCTCGTATATGTGACACTGATTTTCGTCCTTTTAAGTCATGGCAACAACAGCTAACCTGTACGTATCTCAATGTTTCAGAATTTGTAGGAACAAAAGCATTACTCACTTGTCGATATTAAAAATATCAGTCCTTATTATGTCTAAAACGCATCATCATCATCATCATCGTTTGCTCCTTCACTGGAAGTTGAATATAGACTACATTTTATTGATTGATTCGTTTTACTTCTAGTCGCATAGTATTGAATTTATTGTGATTCGGCGATTCAGTGGTAGAATACTCATGAGTCACGCTGGAGATTCGGTCTTGATCTTCTACCGATGTATGTCTAAACCTCACCTAGTTTATTATTATTATTGTTTCCTTTAATTCCTAGAGGAACATAGGACTTCAGCCGTGCGTCTCCATTGCGTTCGGTTCTCTGCTAGAGTTTTCACCTGGTTCCAAGTCTGCCCACATGCTTTCATCTCCTCTTCATATGACCTCCTCCAAGTCACTCTTGCACTGACGACCAACTCGCCGCTTCCCTTTCGGTCGGGTTCCACTCGAGCAATGGCCTGTCTAGTGATGTCACTCACTTGATGCATTGTTTCCTCAGAGTATGGCCAATCCATCTCCATTTCTTCCTGCCTATTTGTTTCACAATTGGTTCCTGGTTGGTTCGCTCATTGCCAGAGGTCTCTGTTGCTGATCTTTTCTAGCAGGCCATCTGATCTTGAGTACTGAGCGAAGACAACTGTTAATGAAGGTCTGTAGTTTGTTTGAGATGCTCTTTATGACGCGCAGTGCAAGTCTCTGATCCGTATAGTAGCAGTGACTGACTTCACATTGGAGTTGAAAATCCGGATCTTATTTTTGATGCTGAGTGCTGTTGAGCTCCACACAGACTTGAGAGTAGTGAAAGCTTGTCTTGCTTTTCTGATTCTTGCTTAGATATCCTCGTCAGTTTCGTCCGCCTGTAGTTGAAACGATGCTTCCCAGGTAGGTAGGTAGGTAAAGGAGGTTGTTTCTTTCAGGTTCCTTCCATTTATGCTTATTGCTGTCTGTTGTTGTTGTTGCTGTTGGTGGTGTTGCCCAGGAATCTTCATCACCTCTGTTTTCTCTATGTTCACCTGAACTCCTTCATGTTTTTGATGCTTCTTCTGCCAACTTGTTGCTTTTCGCTTGCATATCTTCCAGTTTGTGGGAAATGAGACATTAAACATTAGTTGATAGTAAGCCCTGGGAAAATAGGGAGGGGTTGGGTGTAAGGCTAACGACTCCATCCTATTAAAAAAAACCCAATATCGTTACTGAAACTTTAAAAGCTTGGAATTTTATGTTCAACTCAAAATGCCAGAAATGGAAAACAAAGCAAAATCGAAATCGTCTCATCATATTCTAAATTGTAGGTTTGATTTATCTATCCATGGTTCGTCGTATTTGCCTATTGCACGCTAATGTGTATGCTCTATTTGTTGGTTGTTGTGATCTTTCAATAAATTAATTTCATAACCTCATAAATTAATCTAATGCTCGCTAGTGATTGGCTACAGGACGAATTTGAATGGAGATCTAGTGAGAAGCCGTGGACAGCGATTCTCTCTCCGTGGGGGAGGGGTGAGGACAGATACTTGCTGACGGCAATGGCTGGTGGTCGCGCTAAAATCACGGGTTGTTATAAATCAGAACTCATGGGCTAATCATTGAGTTAGAGTCCCAGTGACTGAATGGTCTACGAGCTCGCCTTGTAACCGGAATGTCGTGAGTTCAAACTCTGGTGGCTGGGTACTGATGATGAGTCCCAAACTAAGACGAAATAGCTGTCCAGTCCTCCCTGGTAGTTTTTAATTTTTGTCTAACTGATATCTATCCGTGATCAAACTTGAAACAAATAAAACCTCTAGAAAATTCATCAATTAAGTTGCATACCTCTTAGCCTATCTCATGTAATTGGGATGACTACCGGAGAAATTACTTGAGTCTTATTTTGTAGTGAAATAAATTTTCTGCTGGTTTGAAAGAAGAAACGTTCTTTTTGTTTTAAAATTTTACGACCATCATTATTTGGTATGTTGTCTATTCGGAATTTTCCCTGTATTTGTTTTGACTATATATGCAAATTAAGGCAGGAATACTAATCAATAGGAATAAATAAATAAATAAGCGGTAATTTCTCAATCGATCATTCCAGGCCAAACTCATAATGGAAAATATATTCACTGTTGTTATCATCTGAATTTTTATTCTCAAACTATAGGACGAAAACAGACTATGAATAACATTACACAAAAAAAAAGTTTAATGCCAACATGGTACTGCAATCAATAACCATGATTAACAGAAGACTAATTGTTGGTCACATTCAATATAATATGTGACATGAATACTTGGTGTCCATCATCTGCAGTCAGTTCGTTTTAACTAGTATGTAACATTTCTATCGAAAAGAAGATATTTAAACGGATAACCTTGCTTTCAACTAAATTTCTCCTTCGACTTTAGTCTAATTTAAACTCGTGAAAGGTTTACATTGTCACGTTATCTTAATTGTTTTTGTCGCCACCTGTGTTAACTACTTGTATTAATGGTTACGTATAAATCACCATTATCAGTCAAAATTTCATGTGTTTAAACTGATTGACTGACTGGTTTCAACATGGAAATTTGCACAGATGTGCAGCATTTGAGTTGTTACACTGCATGTACCAAACAAAGGAGGACAGTAGAGACTAAAAAGGTATTCGAAAGAACGATATCAGGCGGAAATGTGAGAAACAGTGGTAACATGGAAATGGATATGACAAGTCACAGAGAGTGAATGCATCTGCGCTACTGAGTACAATTTTAAGCCATATCACCAATTGTCTCCAGCCATCGGTTCTTTGAATCTTAAGGACCCAAACCAGGAGGCCTACGTCTCCCTATATGACTCAAACTAACTTATGGATTTTATAGACTGATGAAGCCATGTTTTGGTTTGACCACAATTAGCTCTTTTCCAACATAATCCTGTGTCAGCTAACATTGCCCGTCGAGGAAAGGGATGGCTAGGCATGCGTAACATATATGCTAGTCATCTCAATTGATGTAGATTCACGACCTTGACACACCCTGCTTACGCAACACTCAGTGCCTAGCCTCAGTATTACTCACTCCATTATACCATCTGACATGGGAGAGAGCGCAGACACTTAGGATCGAAGACAACTAACTGCGTATAGTGGAGTAAAACCCGAGGAGAATCTAATTGTACACAATATATATTGCTACCTCCTATGTCTTTTTTAATTTTGTTTATTTCTAATACTATACTATTAAGAACTTGAGATCTGATTTCACTCTTTGTGATTTTCATTTTATCACTGAAAAACAGAAAGGTACTGCGAAAAAAAGCACCTGGTTGACTTACTCTTAAGTTTATGAAGTTTAAATACTGTGGCACAGTTTATGTGCAGAGTTTTACTTTTCTGCACTTAGTTATCTATAAATCACCTGTAACTCCATTGTTTGAACACCCCATTTCCAAGTGTTGGTTCCTGGAATTGTATAAGGTACTCTGCATTGCTTAGTTAAGCCACGAAAAGTCATATTTACTTATTGACTGAACCTGTAACAAGTTACTGACTTATTATTATTGTTATCTTTTCAATCAAGAAGGATAACGTCATATTTTATCAACACAGAAATTGTACCGACATCTGATTTCTTTCTTTTTTTACTTCAGTCATATTTATTCTAAAATAGGAATTTCTATTTCGCCTTGTTTTATTATGTGATGCGTTAGTGGTTAGGTGGTAAAATGCTTGCCAACCATGCCACACATAGTCCGGAGTTCGAACTCCGGATGACGCACTCCTAAACTTCTCTTAGCTAGTAGTAAGCCCGGTTAAGATGGAAGGTTGGATGTGAAAGGCTGGTAACCTCATCCCGTGAAAATAAAACCACTGTTATCGAAACTTCAAACCTCAAGCTTGAAGTCCAATGTTCCATTAGGAAGGTAAAGGAATAAAATAATAAAATGTTATTATGTGACAATAGGAGTTGATATTACTCTTCAATTTCACTGCGTCGGTGGTACAGTGGTTAGGACTCTCGCCGACCATGCACATGGTCCGGGGTTCGATCCTCTGCCGATGCACACCCGATATCTATGGTCGACCTTCAAAATTTGGGCTACCGATATCCATGCTGAAAATTCAATACTTGTACTGAAAATACGGTGTGGCATCAAGCTGTAATCAAAAATAAAAAAAATAAAAATAAAATGAATAATTTCCACTGTACCATTTCCGGTATGTTGAGTTTCTCATGTTCCAAAAATCATTTTTGTTCTAAATGTGTATGTCATCCTCTCAGTTATTATTATTATCATTGTAATACTCTTGAAATCGCATTCTGGATACATAATTTTATAAACCAACCATAGTGATACTGTCGATTTGATGATCGTTAGCCTATTGAATTACTTACTATAAGCATAATTAGTATATGTATCACGTGTGTCTCGCTAGGCATTGATTTAGGATTTAGCAACAGAGCTGTGAAGCATAACTTGTATCTCTACCTATTTTTATCATCTTTTCCTAGCTAGATATCTTGACTGACTATATATGCACATAAACACACTGTATGTTATAAATATATATAGATATTTAAACACTTACTATTTATAGTATATCATCTATTGAGAAATTTATTCCTATCC